TTTCATCCTATAAGCAAAAAAATCTGTATAATTCCTTGTAGAAAACTTCCAAGAAGTCCTTTGGTGACAGAAATTATTCTGCTCGGAGAAAATTTCAAAATGCGCGCAATGGTTTTTGGCTGAAATTTCGTCGCACGCTCTCACTAGGTCTCCTCTAGCAAATCCAATGGCCTGGGTTTGGAAGAGCGGATTTTTTCCTTACAGATAGATTAGAAGAAGAATTTGTGGGTTCAAGATTGTTTGATTCGGAAGGCCAATTGTTTTTGTTCATATGCGACAATTATAAAGTTTGATGGACTGCGAAAAAACCATTTTTTGGTCTATTTCATTCCATTTCGAAGATATTCGTTTTCTCCGTATTTTTTGTCCCAGTGCGTTTGTTCTCGACTTCATTTTTTTTAACAAACATGATCAAACTTGAAGGCTTATTGAATCCAGTCGCCGTGGCGACGAAAATCGCAATTTTTCGAAATTTTTAAAAAAAGCATCAGAAGCAAATTCGAAGGGCCATGGTGCCTTCTTGGATCAAAACAAACGCTATGGACGCTGTTGGGAGTTTTTAGCATGACTAGACACTAATTCACGGAGAAAAGAAGAAATTGCAGTTGTGTAAAAACCATTATACGGACATTGAAAAAAAAATGATGTTTTTCTAGCTCGCCCACCCTCAATCCTCCCGCAAATACTCTTTTTCGTGAGCCTGGAAGAAAAAAGTCTGATTCACGCATTCTATTTGATCTGTCAAAAATGGTGAAAGTTTGGGGACCAAAAACCATTGCGCGCAAATCGAAGAATTTTTGGTAAAGAATTGAAAGAAAATAAATGATTTTACCAAAACCAGGGACAAGTGTCTAGAAAATTTAGAAATCTTATACAGAATTTTTTTCAGATGAGGACAGAACCTTCTGATTTCATTTGGTCCTTGCAAAGTTATAATATTTTTTTGTTGTGTCACACTTCATATGGACCACCCTGTAAATTATGCAAACAGTTCCTATTTTTCTCCCATCAGATCTCTGAGAAATTCCTTGGAAACAGCATGTTTAAAGAATCGAGGTTGCTGACTCAAAGGATGCTCTTTTAATTGTATTATTCATTCTCTGACTAAGAGACACGAGCACGTTTTGCGAACGTGTGATTAGCTCTATGAGTATTAGCAAGTTTTGGTGAAGTACTAGTAAAATTTCGTGAAAGAACATGCCTGAACTCGTGGGATTCAACCTTGCTTGAACATGTTCTTTCAAGAACCCAATGTAAATCAATTAAAACGCGTCGGAACTCACTTATGAACTTTTTAAGTAAACGTACGCAAAACGTGCTCGTGTCTCTTAGTAGAGAATGGATGATAAAGCTCAATGGCAGGATATCCTTAATAAAAACTAGGATGAATTTATCATGAACTGTAGTCAGTGTTAAAGAGTATCGATGTAATTTTTGCAAGCCTGTTGAAACTTCTCTTTGTGGGGAACAAAGAGAAAAGGTGCGGAAAATACACTTGAAGTGGGGACAAATATCAGGTTTTTGAATTTTTCGTCTTGAATGTGCCTGAAACTTCTTTGCAGTGAAATTTGAGCAGCGGCAATCATGTTGGTACGATTGTCGTTCCAATGTTTCCGACTCTTTCTGATGATGATTTAATTATTACGAAAGCGTAAGCGTGACCGTTATTCGCTGACAATTTAGTGCAAAGTTGCTGGCGTGCCATAAAGTATGCGATCATGTTATTTGCAGACAGTCTCCTTATTTGCAGTAGAAATTGACAACACTCGTTAATGGGGTATTAAAAGTAGAATCTTGAATTTGAAGACACAAGACATTGAAACTTTGTCGAAAATCCACAACTTTAACTGGGTACTTTTTTACATTGTAGGTTTTTTGCCTTTGTACTATTTAGTGACTTGATATGGTGGTAGCTTCTCTATGTGCTTTCTAAGTTACGCCCCTTGTCTGCTTCTGTTCCTTCCTTTTGATGGCGCTCCAAGAGGTGCTGGTACGATATAATGTCAGGTTCAATATTATCTTAGGAACCTTTGTATATTCAATTTGTATCATTGTAAAGTTGGCCGTTGAGACATTTGTGGTGACTAAAACTCATTTTATGAGTTTTTCTAAACCTCTGAAGAAGACGAAATGGTTGTAGTGTTGAAAAAATGATAAGATTACTGCTGCTTACTGCTACAGATTACTAATAAGATTACTGAAAACTTTCCTCAAATTTTCAAAAAGTCCTTGGGAAGTTCCTTGAAGAAAGTCCTAAGAAAGTTTCCAAGGTGAAGAAACTTCCGAGGACTTCAATTACCGAACTACCGATGGGCTTTATGGCCTTTATGTAGCTGTAAGGACGTAATGAAATATCTGCTACTTTGAAACCACACCCTTACTTCTGCCAACCAGGTTAGAAATACGCAACGTTGCTGATATCCTTCAACATTTATTATTAGAGTGTCAGATAGAGCATATCGAGGAACGCCGAAGAGGAAAATGTTTTGGCATGTTTCGAATTAATTGTTATACATTACTGCTCACTTTTTAAAAAAAAAGATGCGAATGTCGCATCATGTATGAACATCACTGTCGCGTGGCCATTTCTCGCTTCAGAGTGGACGAATTCTGCATCTAAAGCTACCATTCGACTCAGCTCGGCGCGGCGCATCTTCTGATATATAGAAGTGTCCACTTAGACAGAGTAGGAGGTCAGATTCCAAGAATTATTCCAAATTGCCTGGTAGGTTGAGTGCAATGAATAAGCACGCTGGTAACCTACCGTAAGCAAGAATTCGAAACAATTCGTGGAATCTGGCCTCCTACTGTGTCCAAGCAGGCACCTCTGTATATCAGAAGAGGCGCCGCACCGAGCTGAGTCGAATGATGGCTATATATGCAGAATCGTCCACTCTGAAGCGAGATATGGCCACGCGACGGTGATGCTCATACATGATGCAACATTTGCGTCTTTTTAAAAAATGTGAGCGGTACTGTATTGCCTTAGGGAGGCGGATGGAGTGTCATACTGACACAATCATTAATCGAAGTGCCTTTTCAAGGTGAGTTGCATATACAGGGTGTCCCAAAAGTAAGTACACCTTTTGAATCGTTAATATCTCTCTTCCCTTTGCGTCTTTTTCAGCGATTTAAGAACCATTCTGTAGAGGAGGCTTCAGCTTAGATTTTCTGTATCGAGCGAATCACCGATCACCCTTCATTACTGTAAGATTACTGTAGGAACTTCGACAAGGATTTTAGGCCATTGGAAGCCATATTCTGCCTTGGAACAAAACCAAACAAGCCAAAAACCCTTGTGCTATTTTTGTGGAAGCCAATGACTTCGAATATAAATTTTCCACTTTACTTTGATGTTCCTTTCCAAAGTTCTCCCAGGTAAACCGTAATTAACGACTTCCCAGTATTTGTCAGAAATGTGATTACACCGTCAAAAAAGCTGAAAACACTCGTAAGAAGTTATGTTCTGGAATCACTGTGCGCGAAAACCCTCTAGTACACGATTTTTCAGATTTTCTGAAAAATTTTGTCAGATTACATATTTCTCATTGATTCCACATGTTGGAAGTTCTTACAGTAATCCCACAGTAACGAAGGGCGATCGGTGATTCGATTGACTCTGTAAATCTAAGCTGAAGCCTCCTCTACATAATGGTACCTGAATGGCGAAAAAGGACCCATTGGGAAAAGAGATATTGGCGATTGAGAAGTGTGTACTTACTTTTGGGACACCCTGTATATTCGGACGTATATAAAATGCTGGGTCGGTAGTAAACCTGTCGAAACGCGCAGCTCAAAATCAAAGTTAACTCAGAGTTAACTCCGAGTTAACACGCACTTTTTGACCATTAACACCTGCATAAACAAACCATATTGGGGAAGAGTGATATGGCAGGATACCCCGCAATACGTAGATTATCCCAAGTATGGAAACACAGCGTAATTCGTTCCACGAGAGACGCTACGCGACGAAACGGGCAGCTCAGCTGACTCTGAGTTTGGTGCGCGTTACGGGCGCCCGCGAGAGATAGAGCAGGGTTACTGTAGGAATTTAGTAAAAGCCAAAGCCCCATGACAGTAAAATTGGTTGGCTCGGTGGCGTTACCGGTGTGTTGATTATAATCGCATTGTGCGTTTTTCACTACAGCGGTGTATAGCGGAGAAGAATACGGTAGACTATCCAAAAAATGTTGTGGAAGATATGTAGATAGTCCTATTTTGAAAACGTTCAGACTACATCATATGCATAAAATCGTAAATTCATCAAACATGATAGCATTTTATTGTGCTCCAGCAAGATTATTCCTATATCAACGCAATTATACTGCATATGTGTCAGAATTTCTTTGCCTCAAACATTTTGGAATACGGTTTTGCATAATTTGTTATGCGCATAGCGAACGCGACGAGCAGTATGTGTCCTAATAAAACCCCCCCCCTCGTCCTTACATATTCGTCACACACTTTCGTTTCAGCGACTTCTTATCTAGCAACCTCTTCAATAGAAATGGCTGAACACCTGGAGAACTCCTCCAGGTGTTCAGCCATGCTCGCTACGTAAATTCCACCAATGTGAAAAATCTACGAAAACCTTTCCCAAAAACCTTGTAGTCATGCTCAAGCTTTCAACTGAAGGCGCTCCTTCGCTAAAAAAAGTAAAATCTGAACTATTAATTAGTCGTCTCTTATAGTACATTAGACAAACTTTGGTTTGCTTTATTAGGAAACAGTAGTGCATGCTTAGTGTCAAAAAAATTCTTTTGGTTTTTGAATTTGGATATTTCTATGTGGGGTTGGCAATTTCGCTGATGTTCTTGCTTTATTGAGTCTACAGTTATAACACTTAAGCCTATTTAGGTGAAACGAACAAGTTCGACAATGTTCGATTTGATCGCGGTAAGAATTTTCTCTTCATCTTTCCGCTCCTATAAATAACTAACTTTTAGGCGGAAAGAAATATATCACAGATTTCACACCAGATTTAGTTTTGTTTTTTGCAGGCTTACATTCTAAGTGTGATCGGTTTGACTGCTGGGCAATTGAATTTTGGTAAGTTTATGCAGAAATATTTTTTAAAGCGATTATCTCGTAGGCCGATGAGAGGGTCCTAAATACTAACAATGAGGATTGAGGTCTGGGAGAAGTACACACATTTGAATTTGAAATGCTACTAATTTTACTTTGGATGAACCCAATATTTAAATGTTCAGTCAAAGCCAAAATTTCTCAACGCAGGTTATCAACAAAGAGTTGTTATCTTTGCAATGGAGTGCGAAAGTCGTGAATGAGTCTATATAAGTCTTTCCAAATCTCTCCGCCAAAAAATTGTGTCTAACTCCGTAAATTCGCTTAGTAAATGCCTAAGTTAAATTTGTAGAAAGCATTTGTCTTCAGACTAACTCTATACGGGGGCACGCGGAAGGGGACAATCGGCGGAAAATAGAGGCTGTGTATTATCCGTCAATGACTTTCACGGATTTCTACTTGTGGCATTGAGTAATGTATCTGCCCCCACCCCCCATCCCCGTAGTTCCCCGGGGTGTCACTTTAACACCGAAGAGTTTTTGATAGGCATAAAATTGGGGATTGTCGCCTTCCGCACCACACCCACTCTATACTGCTTCCTTGCCAAAGGCAATGCCCACTCAAATGGTGTTTTCATATGAAAAGCGATTGAGACCTAATAAGGCAAGACGTAGCACAGATAATTCATCCAAGCCGAAAAAACGATCTCCACTTAACACGTTTCGGACCGCGAAATCGCGCGCGGCGAAAAAGGGTGTACTTTTGCCGTCAGCCATTAAAGGGACCCTATTTCGTAGACTTCGTGCTACATCTGTAATCAGCATGTCGAATAAGCTCTATACTCAAAGTTCTGAGTGAATTCAAAGTGTTTGAATTTTGCCGATTCAGAAGGACTTCTGTGCTTTCTTGAAAGATGGGAACAACAACTCAATTCCTAATAGTATCCAAAAGTATCTATGTTGCACACAGTATACATCAGTATTGAAACTATGGTTTTTCTCTTTGAAAATGCAGCAAAGAAAGCTTGCGACGTCGCACGCGTCGTTCGCGCTGCCGCACTTCGTTACCTGTTGTTCGATCGTCCTCATATCTCCTAAACAAATATGGCGGCACAGCTCTACAGAGTCATTTGGAAATTAGGATCTTAGGCCTTTGACTTGATAACCTTGGACTGAAAGAAAACCTTCTGTAAGCATTAAAAAGATCCTTAGAAGCAGCGTGCTGCACCATGTGCAGCACCGGTCCGAAACGTGTTAAGTAAAACTTGGACAGTGCCTTTGTGTGGTTTCTTCTACAAGAAAACTCCTGTGCCACGTTTACCTGAACAGTAAACAGCTCTGTAAAGATTAATGGTAAATGCAAAAATTGGAAAACCTTGTTTTTTAGCGCGCTAACTGTCGGAAATATACACAAAATTTTCAAAGTATGTTATGCAAAAACTTTCATAATGCTACAGCTACTCAAAGTTTAGTCCCGCCAAAAACGACAAGTTTTGTCTTCCTTACCACAATGTCTTTCTGGATCTACAGAAGGGATTATCATGGGATTTTTCTCCCAGCTAACATCCGTAAGAGGTTGTCGTTGTTCATGATGAAATACCAATTGCTGACTAGTGGGCTAGCGGAATTAGATTTCAAGTAAACAAAACAATTTCGACAGCAATTTTTTTTTCAAATGAACTTTCTGACTAAATATCTCTTGCAACTCACATTCTGATGTGAAGCATATTTTCAAGCTTTGCATGAAAGCTTTGAAATTTCTAGTGGGCAGTTTGAGTAAACTTATCCTGCTGTAATACTTTGAAAATACTTTGAAGATCTGGATGCTTTAACGGTTAGTATCGCCTCTGAGTACTTCGCATAATCGAGGCCTGTCAAAATCAACTGTAGCACTCTTATAAACGAACCCCGCTAATATGCTCTAGCGTTACAATCGATTTTTGCTTCAACGCATATACTATTCTTTTTAGATACTCTATGACCCTCAGCTTATTTGCTAAGAGTTTCAGGGACAACGTCATCGCCGCAGTGCCAAAATGATGCTGCTTGCACTCCACCATCTGTATGCATTGACAACATCTGCGCACAAGGAGTGTCTTGCAAAAGTAACGCTGATTGTAATGATCCAAGGTTTGAGTGTAATCGACAATTTTGCATTCCCAAGCGCAAGTGGAGACCAGATAAGTTGATGACGTGTAAAACAGACGCTTCTTGCATTTCGCCAGCAAAGTGTGTGGACAATTTTTGCGTAGTCAACTTAAAATGTCGTAACCACGAAGACTGTGGCAGCCCTCATCTTAAATGCATACAGTCAGTCTGTATTCTACTGTCTGAACCAAAACCTCCGGTGAGCTTGGGACAGATGTCGCTCCAACAATCTCAAATAACAACACAGAATGGTCAAGGTGCATCAGGACCCAATCCTTCATATCCTGGCCAGATTCCAGATATAATACCGCCACCCCCGCCTCAGCCGATAACCGACTGCGTGAACGGTGGTTGCCCCGAAGGATACACGTGCATAGCTGGTTCTTGCGTATACGCGAAAAATTGCAGAGTTGACTCCGATTGCGGTGGCTACGGCTTTAAATGCATAAAAAGTGCGTGCATGCGAGTTAGTCTTCAAATCCTGCCAAAAGAATATATAATACAAGCTCGCAGTTAGTTTTGATGTGTTTGCATGATTGTTTATCAAGCGATTTCAACTCACGAATAAAGATCAAGATCACGCTGTTATATGTACTTTTTCACAAGTAGCACAGTAGGATTCTGTGCTGCAGCCATAATTTCTTCCAACCATACGTTTGTCCATGAGAAAAATCAACGTTTAGTGAGATCATAGTGAGTCGTATATTGAGTTTGAAAGTACGGAATTTTCAGGAAAGACACTCAAAGTAATTGCGACAAAATCATTCATCTTTTTCTATGTTCACTTTAACGTCAACACCAGGAAAAGTTTTTGCCTCTGTCGTCACCTATAACAGTTATTGAGCAAAATCTTCCAAAGCGGCACTACACTCGACAGCATTCTCGTTAGCAAACTAAACACGTGAAATACTGGGTCATAGAAATAACTGATTGGCATACTATCTCCTACATTTTCCGACATATGCCATGATACAGCTCACATTTCGTCACACCTCTACAGATGAGTTGTTTGCGCCTTCTGCAGAAAAGCTTGTTCCCCTCCCCTCCCCCTTTGCCAAGGGTTGACTTCACTGCTCCTAGTCTACAAATATTCACTAGAGATACTAAATCAGGAATATTTTCCAAGCAATTATTGTCTGTGAGCACGCCCCCTTTAGCACCCCGTACCCGTACATTCTCAGCTATTCAAAAAATGCAAAAAATGCAAGTAAGTTTGGCTAAGGAAGAAGTTGCGGCAATGTCAGGATGGGCTGTATTCGAATATCTGTATGGGATGAGGAGTACATGTCGCCGAAAAGGGATGGTCACACTTGCTACAAAGTATGGGGTAGGGGAACGAAGGCCGTTTGAGCCGTCTTTTGCGGCCAACTAGTCCTTCTGCAGTGTTGTTGCATGTCGTTGCAGGAGGACCAGTAGACCGTGGAAGCGGCTCAAACTGACGGCTTTGGTCTATTTCAAAGTATGCATTCCACCCGTTACAGAAAACGAATTTCCACAACAGTCTGTTGGGTTGGAGACTATTGGCGGCATATAGTTTCTTACCCATCTGTATGTGTGCGCGACATTAGCACTGCGCAATTGACGTTGATTTCTCTACGATTTGTAACTAATCAGTCTGGGAACATACACTTCGACAGATTTTGTTTTATACAGTGTATCATGAAGGCAGTGTCCACCCAAAACTTCGCCTCCCATATTTCTGCCATTTTGGGGCTTTTCGTGGCTCTGATTACGGTTATGATGTCCAAATTGTCTAACTCCCAAAAACCCGGTTCCCGAAGACCCTGTTTTGAGGGCGGAGACGTCTTTCGGTTCATGGGTAGGCGGGGCTTGATAGGATTTGGGCTTGACTTGATAGCACTTTGGCTCTTCCATGCCTATTATCATTATTCAGAGACAACATGAGAGGACCGGGACGGCGCAGATGCCCCTCTCCTAGGGCCTACATTCGGATCGGCACTAATCGGAAGGGGTTATACTTAGCCTGGACGCTGCCTTTGAAAGGATATCAAGCATTTGATCGTTAGTCATTCATTTATTATGAAGTCTTTGAAGAAGCTCAAAAACTATTTTGTAGAGCTGGCTTCAACTTAGATTTGCATTATAGAACGAGTCACCTATCTCTCTTCATTACTGTAGGATTACGGTAGAAACTTGAAACATGTGTTGTCAATGTGGAAAAAGCTGCCGTTACAGAATTTCTCAAAAAATGTGAAAACTTGTGTAATAGGGTTTTTATGGACGCTGAGTTCAATACTTAACTATTCACGAGATTACAAAGCTTTATAAACGGTGTAACCGCACTTTTTAGGAACATTGAAAAAATGGCCGCTACCTCTTACGTGGCATAACTCTTCAATAAAACATCATAATAAGTTGGGAACTTTACAGTTATAATCAGCAACTCTAATTAGCCTAGTGCAAAAGCTTTCAGGCTGTTTTGTTTTCTTTCTGAGGCAAAATATAGCCTTTCATTGCTTAAAACCCTCTTTGAAGTTTCTACCATAATCCTGCAGTACTGAAGAGAAATGAGTGATTCGTTCTATAATGCAAATCTAAGCTGAAATCTAAGTTGAAGCCAGCTCTACAGATTGGTACCTGAAACAAGAGAAAAGACTTCTCTAGAAGAGAGATATTAACGATCAAACGTTCGATACATTTTTTGGGACACCCTGTATATATATACAATACCGCTCTCAGAACGTGCAAAATTTCCGTGAATGTCGCGGAAACCCCGGAATTCCGCGAAGGACCGCGAAATTTCGGGAATTTCGCGACATTCCGGGAATGTCGCGACATTTCCGGAATTTTGCGACATTCCGGGAATTTCGCGGAATTTTCGGAATATCGCCATAACTTCCTTCGGAAGGAACAAATTCTAGATCTGAAACAAGAATTATACTCAGCTCATTAAGGCGAATTTTTTGATACCTTGCCTTACCGTAATTCTCGGGGCACGATTGGTGCACGGTCTGAGATGAATTTTGCATTTTGGGAGAGGGGAGGTGAACACAATATTCGTGTCCTGTACTCGAACCCACCCCTTCTAGTAATAAATAGGTGCTTGAAGCTACTAAACAAACAGAAGAGAGGAAAAACAACATCGACGGCATCATCACGGCATGTTCGCATATTTTAAAACTAACCACACCCAATACCACTGATTACTCCCCCCTCCCTAGAATTTCAGAAAAATTGCATAAGGATTCACTTGCTGCCGCACACCCACGTTCCCTCTCCCAAAATGCAAGATTCATCTCAGACCGTGCACCAATTGTGCCCCGAGAATTACGGTAAGGCAAGGTACCAAAAGATTCGCCTTAATGAGCTGAGTATAACTCTTGTTTCAGATCCAGAATTTATGCATTCCGAAGGAAGTTATGGCGATATTCCGAAAAAAAATATTCCGAAATTCCCAGAATGTCGCGAAATTCCGGAAATGTCGCGATATTCCGAAAATTTCGCAGTTCTTCGCGGAATTCCGGGGTTTCCGCGACATTCACGGAATTTTTGCACGTTCTGAGAGCGGTATTGTATATATACAGGGTGTCCCAAAAAAAGTGAACACTGTTTGATCGTTAATAACTCCGTTGCTTTCACGTCTTTCACCGAGCTTGAGGCGCCATTTTGTAGAGCGAGGTTCAACTTAGATTAGTACTATGGAGCAAATCACCGATCGCTATTCGTTACTGTAGGATTACGGTATAAACTTCTAGCATGTGGATCTACAGTGAAATAAGCCATTTGACAAAAAATTTTCAAAAAGTCTGAAAAATCGTGTGCTAGGGTTTTCGTGCACGCTGATTCCATTACACAGCTTTTTATGAGTGTTTTTAGTTTTTTTTGACGGTGTATTCACATTTCTGGCAAATGCTGGAAATTCAGTTATTTCAGTTTACCTGGGATAACCTTGGAAAGAAGCATCACAGTAAAGTGGAAATTTCATATTCGAAATCAATGGCTTTCATTACCATAGTATGGAAGTTTTTGGCTTGTTTGGTCTTGTTCCGAGGCAGAATGTGGCCTCCAGTAGCCTAAAATCCTTGTCCAAGTTCCTACCATAATCCTACAGTAATGAAGAGCGAACGGTCTTTCGCTTCATACTGTAAACCTAAGCTAAACCTCGTTCTATAGACTATACCGTTCACAAAGTATGCGAAATTTCCGTGAATACCGCGAAATTCCGAAAATTCCGCGAAATTCCTGGAATTTCGCGAAACTTCGCGAAATTCCGGAAAGTTCGCGGAATTTTCGGAATTTCGCGACATTTACGGAAATTTTGCACATTCTGTGAGCGGTATTGTATTCGACGTGCTAACAACATTTCTTACATTGTTTTGCTGCTAGTGACACATTGTAGGATAGAATATCTGCCAACACGACTTTCGAATTTGAAAGACAATTCATGAGAAGGCGATTTTGTATCATCATAATCTGACGAACAATTCAAATAAAGATCTGTGCTAAGCATGGTCCGATAGAGGTGTTCACAAAGTTTTGAACTCACAAAAATTTGCGGACAATTTCCGCAACAGGTAGGCGAAAAGTGCAGGCGAAGTTGCGATCTTGATTGGTTTAGCTACTTCTATCTCACTTTAGCTTTACTGTAAGACTCTCTAGTGCAAAATAAATAGGATTTTCGTAAAGATCGCGACCAAAAACCACTATGAGTGAAGTTTACGGTCAATCCGAGAACCTCAATATTTTAACCAAATCTTGCGCCGAGGCCAAGAGTGAGGAGCGAGAGGCCAAGAGCGCGCTATATCAGTGTGTATTGCTTCTAAGAAGCTGGAAAAAATATGGGGTGTATAGGTATGAGAGAGGTGTCTAACATGATTTTTGGGGGAATTACGGAGCAACTTTGAGAGAGCCGATTTTACGGCCTGAGCATGCATGTTGGGGGGCTAATAACTCTGCGAATATTACAGATATGAGGCTGTAATTTGTTTTATTGGACAGATCTCTGAAAATATGATTTTTAGAGAGGAGGTCGTAGGATAACAAGTTTCCAATAAAAGTGCCTAATTGACAGCTGAACTTGGGAAATCTGTCAATAAAGGCGAGTTTGCGCCCTTATATCTCTGCAAGTTGTAGGGTTGGGGTAATATCATGTGGTCATTGATATGCACTTTTGATAGCTCTATTTTTCTCGGGGTAGATCATGGCTGTAGCTCCACCGTAGGAGGCGCTATATAAAGGCGATGATGCATATTTTGAATTTTATCTCCGTGGAGAGTAGGGATAACAAGCTGGGATAGCCATTCTTCAATTTAAATTTGAGGAAGACAGCACATATGAATCGGAGAAAATGCAGGGGCTCCGCCTGTGGGAGCCCATCTATAAACCTTCCCGGACGTTTTTTTTAGTTTAGGGTCTCGCAATTTCTCCTCTTTCTCCCCCCTCATTTTCCCCCTCTCTTTATTTGTGCAGCGCGTGTGATAGTTACCCGCGGCCATCTGGACCTGGTTAGGGGGCTGAAACCGGCTAGAAAGGGGTAAATAAGCTTAGAAAAACGCGATTTTCGCTTATTTTTCCTTATTTTCTCTTAA